CCCCCCCCCCCCCCCCCCCCCCCCCCCCATCTCCTGATTCTTTGCAGAGAGCAAGCTGCGAGTGCAAAAGACCAACCACTCCCAGGTGTTCCTGGAGGATAGTCGTGTCAGGATCAATTGCTCCATCAGCTCCCAGACCAGCCAGGACTCCCAGCACGCTGTGCTGTGGTACGTCAGGCGCGCGACCGGGTCAGAAGCTGACGAGCTCCTGCTGAGGATTGAACGCTCGGGGGCCTTCGAGTACGGCGCCTACGCAGAAGAGGAGAGACTGCGGCGTCGAGTCCAGGCCGAGAGGCTGTCAACCCGTCTCTACGCGCTGACGTTAAACAGGGCAGAGAACAGCGATTCTGGGACATACTACTGCCTGGTGGAAGAGTGGCTGAGTGACCCAGATGGAGCCTGGTATCGACTCTCCCGGGAGTCCTCGGGGTTCACGCAGGTTCTGGTCAGACAGCCAGGTAAGCGAGCGGTTCGAACTGCTGTTTTTCGTAAACAAATGCTTATTTATTCCCACTGCAGGTAAGCAGCAGCTGCCACTTTAGCCCCACATGCTGCCTTGCTTTAGACCATTTAGACATTGTCAACCCACCCACCCCCACCTCCTCTAATTTGCTTTGCCCTCACCACTCCCACATGCTCTGCTCAAGGCTGTCTCGCTCTGATGACTTTACACCTGTCCTGGGCAGAGCTCAGGTGGCAAAAAGTGGGTTGAAGTCATGCCAGTTCTTATGTGCCATGCCAGAGGGCAGAGCCTGGCTCAGACGGAGAACCTAATCCTCTTGTCCAGTACTCAAAAACTTTCAGAGCGCTCAAAGCCGTGATGTACCTACTGCCACCCAAACCCTGATGTCTTACCTCATGGCTGTAGTATTAAGCACACTCTTTTTCTGTCTTATTTTTCCCATAGCCCATATTCACATATTCAAAATTACAAATGCCTCCTTTACAATCAATGATGATAACAACCCATCCTATGAATCTATTCCACACACGAACTCAGGGGGACTTATCACAGACGTCTCTGAGAGCGCTGTTCATCTGTTCAGGTGTCCTGTTTCAAATGCAGAGTGAAATCCCTGTTATGGCATCTGTCCAACGAGAATGTGAGGATCAAAACATCTGGTCACAAGCCAGTAGAGCAAGGAAAAGGCTAGTTATGTAGACGGTGAAGCTGCTCAAACAATTAATTGAGCTAGAGCACCCATACCAATGCATAGATTTGAAAACATGTGTGCACACTTATATTTGTTTTGTGTAAGACACTGATTGCTTTCATGCTTTAGTTAATCAAAAGCTAACACATGGTTGTTTGTGGAAGCTCACCAGGGGGTCTGGGTTAATATTTAACGCTTACTGGATGGCAAGTATAGTGTACGTGACCGTACATGTTTTTACTTTTAATGATGCATAAATATCTATATACCATTCATAGAATATGCTGTGTAAATATCATAGATATTCATAAAGGTGCTAAAAAATGCATTCGACCAGGAAGCCATCCAGAAATCAGCCTGTCGGGCGGAGAGATGAGCGGAGATGTGTGCCAGAACTCGCTTATTTTTTTCTGCTCTCCTGCTGTCCTTTTCTGCTTCTCATTTTGCTTTAACAAGAGGACCCTTCCAAACTGTGTGTGTGTGTGTGTGTGTGTGTGTGTGTGTGTGTGTGTGTGTGT